GGGGGGGGGTAAGAGTGCAGGGGTGGGGCCTCTAGGTGGTGTGGAGGTGTGGAGGTGAAGCATGGATCCCTCACGGTTGGAGGTGTGGAGGTGAAGCATGGATCCCTCACGGTTGGGAGTACCAGGGGGTGTGTAGCAGCTTCCCTGGGCTCTACCCACTAGAGGTCACCAGGACTTCTGGGGCAGAGGTTGGGAACCACGGCTCACAGGCCAGATGCAACCTGCACCTGGATGTACCATCTGTAAGTTGAAGACAGACTCACATTTGTAAACGGCCTCATGAAATTACTCTAAGTCCCTACAGAACCTCCTTGATTGTGCTTCGAGGGAAGTAGGGCTTGGAATTTGTAGAGAGCTGCTGTGGGTCACGAACAAAGGGAGGCTTCATGTGGGCGTGCATAGGCGTGCCCCTAATCCAGGCTGGCTGGGACTGGGGTGGCCCGCTGTGGGAAGACCCTACTGGGGTGCCTCTTTCTTAAAAAAAAAAGACCAAGTAGCGTGCTGGTTAAGGTGACTGGATCCCATGTGGCTGACTGCACAGTTCAAGTCCTGGACTCAGTGGCTTGAAAGATGCTGAGCATGTGTGCATGTGTGCCCAAAATATTTTATTTTTTTTGAGAGAGGTTTTCGCTATAGGGCGCATGCGCTCGCCAGACAGACAGAGAGAGACAGAGAGACAGAAAATAAGAAATCACCCCCCAGGGGGGACGGTCACGCCGCAATCCCTTCTCCTCCATTCTCCTCTCGGGATCTTGGGCACACATGCACACGTGCCCGGCATGAGTTTTAAGCCACGGGGTCTGGGACGCGAACTGAGGTGGACTATGTGGGAGTCCAGCGACATAGCCATTACGCTAACTGCTGGTTCCTGACCCCTAAAATCTTGAAGAAAAGAGATTGCGGTGTGGCCATCCCCCCTCAGGAGTGCGTTCTTACTTCTCTGTCTCTCTGGTGAACGCATGTGCCTATAGCAATCTTTTTTTTCTTTTGAGAGGTGTTTGCTATAGGGTGCATGTGCTTGCCAGAAAGACAGAGAAAGACAGAAAGCGAGAAATCACCCCCCGGGGGGATGGCCATGGCGCATGCACCCAGTGTGAGTTTAAGCCACTAGGTCCCAGACTCGAACAATGGTCGACTACATGGGAGTCCAGCAACATAGCCATTATGCCAACTGCAGGTACCGCCTATAGCAAATTTTAAAAAGAAAGAAAGAAAGAAGTCTTGAATGGCTTCCGAGTTTTTGGCCTCTGCACCTGGAAGGTGACATTGAGATGGAGAATCTGGGGGGAGCAAGTGTGAAGCGGGGAGACCTGAGGCTGAGTAGCGGCTGTGTCAAGTTTGAGGAATGTCACGTAGACAGGGGAAGAATGCCAGCTTTGTAGTTCTGCAGGCTCAGAGTTCCAACCCCAGTTCTGCCTTGGACACACTGCAGAACCTTGGCCAAAGGTCTCAGGCTCTCCAAGCCTCAGTCTCCTCACCTGTGAAAGGGAGGTCGCTGGGAGACTCTCTGAACAAGGGGCTTCAGACAAGATGCTTTCAAGAGCGCTGGAGGCTGAGCTGCACCCAAATCAGCTGAGACTTTGTTGGGGTGCAGGTCCTGCCTGGGCCACCTCTGGAGACTTTGATTCTGATCCGGGGGGACTGCCTGGGGCTTGAGAACCCTGACCTGGGTCTTGGGTGTCCGGTAAGAAGCCCAAGGCTGCCTCCCTGGATGAAGACTCACAGATCCCCAGAGTGGGAATGCCCTTCAAACCTCAAAGCCCAGAAATGCTCCCCACTGTGCAAATTGGGAACCTCTGCACCAGAGAAGCTGAGGGGCCTGCCTGAGGCCACACAGCCGGCAAGCAGCAGATGATGATGGAGAGATGGAAAGGTACCAGTCAGTTCAGGTAACAAGCAGTTGGGTCCAGCTTAGGGTGGAGGGTGGTAGAGTCAGAGCGAGAGTTAAATTTCATTCCAGGAATCTCATCGTCCTGGATTTGGAGATGGATGTGTGTTTCCTTTACATTTGAGAGTATTGGATGGCTCGGTGGATTCCTTCGAGAGACGGAGACTTGTTCTCTGTGCTCTCCCTGATCAGCCCCGTGGGCTAGCTGAACTCTATGTGTGCCAGTATTAGATGCCGTGCAATCCGGATTCTCAACCTCACTGCGCGAAAGAATCACCTTGCGAGCTTTGGAAATAGCAATCCCCGGGTCCCAGCCCAAGAGATTCTGATTTAATTGGCCTGGACCTGGGTCTGGCACCGGGATTTTTCAGCTCCTCAGATGATTCTCAAGTGCAGCCAGACCAGTTTAGGTGTTCAGGGACAAGACGTGGTGCCCAGTGACTGACACGCTCAGACCCTCCAGGGGAGGGTCCCCGTACACCGCTAACGGGACTGTCGTCGTTCTTCTAACAAACGTACGAGTCCTCTTTTACTCAGGAGAGTTGGCATCGGGCCCCAGCAGCTGCTGGAATTTCATGGCATGATTTATGGCAAACGGTACCAATGGTATCTTCATATCAAATTTTCTTTTTCTTTTTAAAAAATTTTTCCAGAGGGAGAGAGAGAGAATAAAAGTGAGAAAGCACTCCCCCTCCCTTCATGGGGAATGGTCACGCTGCAACCCCTTCTCCTCCGTTGCACACTCCTGTCGGGATTTTGGGCACGCACACACACGCACTGGCATGTTTTTCAAACCACCAGAGCCAGGACTCAAACTGCACAGTTGGCCATGCGTGATCCAGCCACTTCAACCCCCATGCCGTAGGCTGGCCCTAAATTCTCTTTCTAAACAGCTTGATTTATACACAGAGAGAACATTAAGCAAATCCTAACTCGGGAACGTGCCCTGAGTCTAATGGTGGCCTGCGACTCAGGCTGGTGCTCTCACTCATGATCTCCTCATGGATCGGAAACGATTGTATGACCATGGTGTGTCCGGCTGAAGCAGGTCCTGGGGCGTTTCTGAAGAGTCAGGAAAGCAAACCTCT